GCAATTTCCAGTTTCTGAGCGAGTTTCCCATCATTACCACTGGTGAACAGCTCCGAATGTTAATGGTTCTGCTTTTGTTACTCCGCGCTTGATTGAAATGTCGCATACAGATTGAGACGTTAGTGCTAACTTGCCACCTGGGAGTGTCAAGCTGGGTCTGAAATGAACTTTTCTCACACTTGGATCCAGATGGATCAGCCGGAGATGTTCCCAGGCTGAGCTGGGACTGTTCCAGGGCCATGGGGGGCGGCGGGGGGGCCGCTCAAGGTGGAGGGCTTCCTCTGCCGCCGCCCCCCAGGAGCGGGGTCTCCACTCCAGGGGGCCTCCCCCCGTGACCCTGCCTTCTGGACTGGCCCTGAGCACAGTGCAGCGGGGTAAGGGAAGCCTCATGGGCTCTGTGGGGCCAGGGGCCCGGGGTGGCCATCTTTGGGCAGTGACCAATCCCGGTGCCTCCAGGCAGATCAGGAGAAAGGCTGCCCGGCCCGGGCCACCTCTCTGCCTTGGGTGGAGCGTCCACAGGCCAGAGCGCATCCAAGTTGCGCCAAGGAGGCCCCTGCCGACAGCCATGTGGTCCCAGGTGGCCTCCTGACCCGGTCGAAAGCCCAGTCCAGCTCTCCAGGCTCCAGAGCCCGACCTCTGGCGCCCCAGCCCTCTGCTTCATCCAGGCTGGAGGCAGCTGTGCCGGGACACCCCGGACGAGCGCCAGGAAAAACTCTCAGCCGCGCCCTCCCCAGCTCCCAGGGAGGCAAGGTGCCCGCTCGCTGGCCAGCGCCCCGCCAGAACCAAGCCCTGTCCTGCTCCCGTCCTCGCCCCCACGCTGGCTGCCGCCGCGCCGCCCGGGGCCCCAGGCCGCCTCTGCTGCCGCTTGGCAGGTAACGCCTCAGTGTCTCCCCATCCCCACCGAGATCCTTCTCAATCATCCTGTCTCCCAAGGAGCGAACGGCACATTGGCTTTAGTGTCTCCCGAATAATTAGGTGAATTTTAATAACACCTCGATGTGTGTCTCTCCCGCTTGGGCACTCTCCTGGCCTGGAAACCCCTGCAGCGGTGGGTGCCCTCTGACGCCCGGAGCTCTGCGGCCAGAGCCTCACCCGCTGGCCCTTCCCTGGACCCTGTCCGCCTTCAGCCCTGCTGCTTCTGATCCAAGGGGGCTCCCGGCCATGACTCCCCCCATCTCACCCTGCATTCGGCTGTGCATCAAACCTGACACAACTGGGCTTGGTCTCCGTGACTTCTCAGGGAAGTGGGAGAAAGGCTGAATAATGGCATTCACCTCTAACTCCACGGGGCTGAGTGCCATGCCCTCAAGCCTGAAGCCACGGCCACCCCTGCTGTCCGAGGGAGAGGGAAGCGGGTCCCTCAGGAGCCCTGGGGACACAGATGGCTGGACACGGGCACCCATGTGGCACTCCCGCTGGCCTGGTCCGCTTCACACCTCCCAAAGTGCGGAATTCCGGGCAACATGGGGAGGCAAATGCCAGGAGGAAGGCCCAGCCCGGTTCACCCAGTTCTGGCCTTTCTGGGAGGAAGCCCGCAGGCACCCTGGCTGCGGATTTTTCTCCCCATGTCTGCACACATCTGTTCAAAAGCACCCTGGTTTTAGGAGGCTCGCTCTCCTGCAGACACCCTGGCAGGGGGCCTGCTTGTCCCACTGGGCCCCAGATGGCGTGGGCTGTGTTACCCCCGCCGGAAGCAGCGCCCCCACCCACCGGAAGCCCCCTTACCGGTCACCACGGGGTATGTCTGCGTGCCTGACACGTTGCTGCCCAGCTCGGGGTTGCTGGACGCAGATAGACTCGACTTGACTTCATCAAGCCCAGGGGTCAGGGCCGGGAGGGAGTATTCGTTCCCCTGGGAGGAGAGAGAAGTGACAGCTCTCTATTGATGCACGCACAGAGAGAGGGCCCCATGCAGATGGGGAGGAGGAACGGGGACCCTCCCAGATGGGGTGGAGGGAGGCGGGGGGCAGGGAGGGAGGGGCGGGCGTGCTGGGTGGCGACAGAGAGTTTTGTGCAGGTGGGGGTAGCCCTGGCTTGGTGGAGCGGGAGGCGTGGCCTGGACATTTCGGGAGGCTGTCCCAGCACCCTTCACATGTCTGTGGCATGTCCTGCCTAAGCGGCCCTTGGGGCGGAGTGCAGCAGCGGGGACCCCTCCCTGAGAGTCAAGAGGCGCTCAGGACCCCTGGGCGGGGCGCCTTGAGGAGGAGCGGGGATCCCGGCATGACGGCCGAGGCGGTCACTGGGGGAAGGGCCTGGCAGGGCCTCCAGCCTGGCACGGCTGGCCTGGCTGGTCGGGTGCGGGCGCCCCTTTTCTAAAAACAAACAAAGACAGCCCCACGGGCCCCTCGCTCTCTGCCTGTGCACTGGGGTGTGAAATTGGGGAGGGGGAGAGCCCACATGGCTAGCAGAAGGGTGGGAGGGGGCCAGTCATTGACTCTGAAAGGGTGTCCTGCCCGAAACCCTCGGGTAATTGCCTTGTGATTGCAGCCACCGCCAAGCCAGACCCCAGCGCCAGGCCGACCAGGAGCCCGCACCACGCAGAAAAAGTTGCTCTGATTAATATTACGTTAAATTAAAACTGATTTTCTGCTCTTTCGGGTCCGTTTTTTTCTCTTCCGCTTCCTGGCCCCCCCCCGAGGACCGCCTCCCCTCCCGGGCTGGACGGGATTGCCTCGTCATTTCCAATTCCTTCTCGTATTGATCTTCCTGTAGAAATCAGTTTTGTAATTAGCTGCAAATTAGGCCTTCTACTGGGGGTGAAGCTGCCCCCTGATTTATCACCAGAGTAATTCGCTGTGATCGGAGAGAAATTAAAATGAACTCAATTAGGCTTCGGATTTGCTTTATGGGCCCTGCTCCGAGTTTCAGGGGGAAAAATGACTGTGCTGGTGTTTAATAGTCTAATGAAAGTAAATAAAGGTTATTCATTGTAATACAGCCGGGGACTCGGGGAGGGTGCGCCGGGCCGCCCGCCTCGGCCGGTTCCTCCTTTGTTGGTTTATGGCTCAGGGCACCTTAAAAAGACTTTTGATTTTTGTTTTATGAAGACAAACAGCTTATGGGATAAAAGGACGGGCGGGGAGAGAGGGAAGTGGCCGGAGCTGCTAGAGTCTTGGCGTGGAGCTGTGCCGGGGAAGCCTGTGGGCTGCGCTGGCGTGCGTGTGCACGTGTGCGTGCGTGCGTGCGTGTGTGCTTGAGCACGGCCTGCTGGGCTGCACTGTGCTGTGGGCCTGGCCTGGGCATGTGGGAAGAACAGGTGTGTGCCCGCGTGTCTTGTGTGTGTGCGCAGGGGCTACACTCATGTGGGTGGAGTGTGCTGGAGGTGAGCTGGGCGGGGCACGCCTGCAGCCTGGGGGTGTGAGGGCGATGGGGGTGGAGTAAGTGGTGGGTGGGAAGGGTGTGCCCACGGCAAGTGGGAGGGGTCAGGAGACATGCTTCTGTGTTGTGCGTTTTGCTGGCTGCTGCATGCTGCATCGCCCGCTGTGCTTTCTAGGCCGCCCTGCGTCTCGGGAAGTTGGGTGTGAGGGGCCGGCTGTCGGCCTGTCCGGGGCACACGGGGCAGTGGATGGGGTGGCAGAGGCAGGCGCTGGGGGCCCTCCTCCTGATGGGAGGAAGGGTGCCACGGCTTGTGCAGACTCTGAAGGACCGTGAGAGGGGCGGGGCCGGGGACACAGCAAGACATTGACCCTGAGGACCCCATGCCAGAACCACAGAGAGGCAGAGCTGGGAGGGACTTGGCAGACCCTCTGTCCACGCCCTTTGTTCTCTGGATGGGGAAACTGAGGCTCTGAAGGCAGGTCTATCCAAAGCCAGACTCACACCCAGAACTCATCATTCCAATGACTGTATTCGCCCGGAATGCCCGCTCGTAACTATACCGTGTGCCCTTAAGCGAGCGGGCTCACCCTGCCCACGTGTGCACACGTGTATAACACGCGCCACGCTGGGTGCACTCGGCGCCGAGAAGCCTTGCGCTGCCCAGCCCCTCTCCGCCCCTGCAGACGCGCGCTCCTTCCTCACCTGCTCTGACTTGATGTGCTCGGATGCCTGGAAGACGTCGGGGTAGGAAGGACGCTCAAAGACCCGATCCAGAGCCTCCAGCTGCTGCTGGGTGAAGGTGTCAGCTCGCAAGTGCTTCCGCAAACTGTCCACGCCACTCTGGGAGTCTCCATTGGGGACCGAGCCCTCGGACACATCTGGAGAACACATGGACACTTGGGGCATGAGTGCCAGACTGGCAGAGGCCCAGGAATGGTGAGCGAGGAAGTGGGTGTGTCTGGTTCTGCCCAGGGCTCTGCACCCCAGGGAACCCGTATCCCAGCTCCTAGGCCAGCGGGGCCAGTGCAGGAGGTCTGGTGGAGGAGGCCAGAGCCTCTGAAGGACCTGGGGAGGGCAGGGGAGGTGGCCAGAGTCGAGGGTTAGAGAGGACCAGGACCAGGCAGAAGTGGACCAGGGCTCCCGGGGCCCTCTTCCCAGGGCACGTCCCCAGATGCCTCCCCTTGGCCCCCGGCCCCCCAGCCTGGGTCGGCTCGTGGGAGAAGCTGGCGTCTCCGACTGGCATGACAGAGCCTGTGGAGAATTGAACCCGGCTCTGAGATGAATTTCAGTTCCACTGATTCCAGGGGTTGAAATCATCAAATCTCCGAGGCCGAGTGTAACACAGAGCCTGGGTGAAGCAATTAACTCGGCCACGAGGGTGGAGGGGCCTGAGCAAGCCTGGGGCGCTCTGCTGGGGTTGGGCGGGGACGGGGGCGGAGCAGGAGGGGGAGGTGTTGCCAGGGCAGCCAAGCGCCCGCTAGGGCGGAGGCCACCGAGGGGCCTTTGTGGGCGCCGGGTGCCTGGCCAGCCTCCCCGGCCTGTCCCTGACCGGACCCTCAGGAAGCAGCTCCTTGGCTTCCCAGCTACCCCTGCGGGTCTCTGCGGTGGAAGGGCCGCGGCCGTGCCGCCCGTTCGTGGCTCCCCTGGGCTCTCCCAGGCCTTCCCACCCCTCGGGCACTCCTGCCTCCCTTCTGGCATGGTCCCGGGTTTTCAGGGTGTATACGGCCACCTGCTGCTTGCTGCTCTTCCTGAGCCCCGCCCACCACGCTCCTGGCCGGAATGTAGGCGCCCCCCCCACCAGTGTGGCCGCTCCTCGGCTTCCCTCGGCCCAAGACCAGCTGGGGAGCCTTGGGCTGGGGCCAGCCCATGCCGGAGGCCCCAGGGTGCTCCTCTGGGACAGTTATATATATCAGTTTATAGGTGATTATACGATATGATATAATCAATATTGCATTATATACAGTAACACCGTACAGTATCATCCGGGAGACCATAGAAAATATTACATATTGATTAACTCAACCTGCAGCCGTCCTCCCTTGCTGGCCTCCCAGACGGGAGCTGAGGGGTGGGCTTCCTAAGGGGACCGCCCATCTTCCCTCCCTCTGTTCTGGAGGGGGTGGGAAAGCAAAGGAAGTGTGTGGGGAGGTGGGGGGAAGAGGGAGGGAGAGAGAGGGAGAGGAAGAAGGGGAGAGGGAGAGAGAGAGAGAGAGAGAGAGAGAGAGAGAGAGAGAGAGAGAGAGA